TCTCTTTCTTCCGCATGTTATATTCTCATTGGTTGAAATAGAGAAAATAGAGAATTTTGGGAACAGGTGATTTGATGCCCTGACATGCAGCCTTTCCCCTTTATTTTTTTAGTTTTGCTTTTATTTTTTTTAAAAAAATTAAAATATAATTTAATATTTATAATAATTATAGGGTAAGAAAATATATACAATATATATGTCATTTTTAGAGAATAAAAATTTTAATAATACAAATAAATAAAAAATTAAATATATATATATTAGATATAATATAAATTCATAATCAAATTATACAATATAAATTTTATCAATTAAATTTAATACACATTTATATTATTTTATTCATTTTTATCAAATCAATATATATAAAAACTCTCCAAATCCAACCCATACATAAACACAAAAGAAACACATAAATTTAAACCCACCTCAAAATTCAAATAAAAATTAAACCCAAACTCAAACCCAAACCCCCAAAAAACACACCCCTAATGATAATTTTTTTTATTAAAAGTAATTTTTTTTAAAAAAAATAAATATCTTATAACTCAATCTTAAACAATATATATAAAAAAATATCTATAATATATAATTATTATTGGCAAAATTGCCCATAACTCCCTTGTAGTTTCGAAACTCAGCGTAAATTCTTCTTCTACTTTAAAAATTGTGTGACGTCCCCTTATACTTTAAAAAATGTTGCATGAAACCACTTTGTGGTTTCGAAACTCAGCATAAATCCCCATTTTACTTTAAAAAAGTGCATGACGCTCACTTATACTTTAAAAAATATTGCATAAAACCCCCTGCCATGCAAAACATATAGATAGGAAATCATCTTCTTATCACACGAGGAAAGTTTCATTGTGGTGGAGTTTCATGCAACGTTTGTTAAAGTATAAGGGGGTACCATGCAATTTTTAAAGTACAGGGAGATTTTACGCTGAATTTTGAAACCACAGGGGAGTTATAAGCAATTTTACCATTATTATTTGTCAATGTTTCTGTTGAGTAAGAAAAAACCAATGTACAGGGTTTCTTGAGAATAGGCTTATAAATTGGATTGATGTATAGTCCAATGGGTCTGATAATGGTAGTAGAGTCTTAAATGAAGTCGGGCAAAGAAGGATGAGACCGCCGATAAGGAGGTCGGACAAGATGAAGTCGGTCGAAGAAGGATGAGACGGCGATAAGGAGATCGGACAAGATAAGTTCGGGTGAAGAGGGATGAGACAGCCGATAAGAAGGTCAGACAAGATAAGGTCGGACGAAGAAAGATAAAACGACCAATACGGAGGTCAGTCAAAATGAGGTCGGTTGAAGAAAGATGAAATGGCAGACACGGAGGTCGGACAAAAGGAAGTCGGGCGAAGAAAGATGAGATGACAGACAACCAGTGAGCGGATCGAACAAGTGGAAGGCGGGCGAGAAGAGACGTAGCAGCAGATGTGCTGGTCGGACGAAAAGCAGTTCTAAGACGGTTGAGAGAACCGGCGAGCGGATATGAAAGCACGATCTGGTCGTGGCGGTTGACATAGGTTTGTTTATGACCTAAATAAACCATCTTCAATCGACATCAAATTCAGTGAATTTCTTTTTGGGATTGCCATTTTACTTTTACAGTATGTAGTATTTATTTTACTTATATATCGCACGGTTTCTAAGGATTCTTAATCTTAGGCATTTTATTTTATCAAATTCGAAGATAATTTCTATTTTCGGATTTTACTTTTTATTGTTGAAAATCGGTATCAACAATTTCAATAAGATATAATGTGCATATCATATTACAATTTAGTGAGTAATGATTAGTTCTAACCAACATCATATTTAACATAGTTTAAAAATATAACAACTCAAAAATCTAATAACCCGAAAATAAATAAATATATGTTTTTATATGTATAAATTGAATATAACTGTATTATTTTCAATTTTAAAAAATTAATCCCCTTTACACTAAGTTTTGGTTCCGCCCTCGATGCCTCCAAGACGCTGTAGTTCGCTTAATGTAACTTATCAAGCCTAATTTGCAGAGTATTATGTTCGTCGGGTTAAAAAATAGATTATTGGTTTCTAAGTCTAACGCAAGAACAAGAAGAACAAAACACACATCCTACCTGGATTAATGGCAACATTGAGCAATTAGCAGTCGCAATTTCTGCATAATCTCCAAGATACTGATATCCTCTTCAACAAACCTCTTACTCTCTTCTGCGTTGCCACAATCAGAATATTTCCTTCAGTATTTATCAATTCATATGGAAAACAAACAAACAAACAGAGATTGAAGAAATTTCTGGTCTAGTGTACTCACGCACAAAGGAGACTCTGTTTTCGTGCCACATTCACACTCTTCAGTGCATCGATACTCCTCCGTACCAATCGGCCCGTACTCCTCCAATTTCGTCTGCATCGATCTCCATTTCTATCGCAGTTTACAATTGCAGGTAATCAAATATATTGTCGAGTAGAGATAATTAATTTAGATCGTGTCTGCCTCACCTTCGCCTTGAAGTTGAATCTCTCCCTCCTGCAATGGCGGCATGCCTCTCGATTATTTCTCCACACTCCAACACCTTCTGATTCTCCTTCATCCGCCTTCGTCATCGTCATCGTCATCACTCCTTTTTCTTCCCCGCTCCGAATTCACCTTAAACCCACAGACGCGCGAGTGTTACTATAATTAGGGTTACGTTTCCTGTTGAACAGGGTAGAACTGTTGCAAATTCCTTGCAGCATTTTATTATGTATTTTCTTATTTATGTACAGTCCAGATTTGTTGTATAATCATCATCGCTATTATATATAATAAATAAATAAAATAAAATAATATGTAGGCCCAAATTACTCTTCTTCGTTACCGTTATTAGAGAGAGTGTTTGATAAATAGTGTAGAGGTTTATTTATTTATTTATATTTTTTTATTTTTTTATTTATTATTATTTTTTTTTAAGGTTATGAAGAGTTGATAAATCAATTAATTTTGGTGTTTGTTAAATCAGTGATTTTAATTAGTTTATTGAGTTCGAAAAAATTAATTTTAAAAAATTTGTATATCCCAGTGTTTCAAATTAATTTTTTCTTTTTAATTTTTCTTATTTTTTATTTGTTCTTAAAATTAATTAATTCTTTCACATATATTAATACTCTATCGGTTCGGTTTCATTTACTTTTTACGTCACTATACTCGAAGATTAAAAACATCCTTATATTTGTATAATTTTTTGCACAAATATCATTGTAATAGTATTACAAGACACTTAGTATAAGTATTTTTTTCATTTTTCCTTTGATTTGTACTAAGCTTTTATATTTTTTTTTTATTACACTATTTATTAATTATTTGAATATGTTTTATTCTAATACCTTATAAATTTATATTTATAAATTTAAAATAATTATTTTTTTATATGTCAATTATCTTATTTATAAAAATTTTAAATTTTTTAAATAAAGATAATATAACAATATTAATATTATTGATTCATTTATATAGTATTTTTTATCATATAATTAAAAATTATAAATTTAGTGTAAATATATAGTATTAATTAAAAATTAATTTAATAAAAATACGTATAATAATGATTTTTGTTCTTTCGTATCTATGTTATTTCTAATAAAAAAAATATTTTTAATAAGTTTGCATTAATTTTTTGCAAAATATTTTAAAAATGATAAAAATAAATATCTTATAAAATTTTCGTAATTTTTAAAATTTATAATAAAATTCTAAAATAGTCTATCCACAGACAAAACTTGATTAAATATTTTGAAAATAAAATATAAAATGTTCTTAATTGTCATTTTGTGTATAAATAACTAATACAAAATCGATATTTTACCAAACATTTTAATACAAACAGCTAATATATTTAAGCTAGTCAAACCGACTAATCGAATAAGTTAATAGCTAACTAATCGAATAAACTAATAGTGTCAAACACCCGCTTAGTCTTTTCAGTTTTTATTATAACAAAACTATTATCTTTAATAAGAAATACAATTTTCAAAATTTATTACTTTTTTAAGAACTTGTTACCTTCAACAAAAATTTATAAAAAATAAAATTTTAATTTATAAATTTTATATAAATTATCTATAAATATATTTAAAATTTATTAATCAATTCTCACATTTTATCTATCCTATTTTAAAATTATTTGTTATTTTCTATATTTTTATATTCAATTCAACAAAATAACCAGTGAAAATAATGATTATTTCAACCATTTCTTAAACCAAACTGTGACAGGATCAAACTAAACTTCTTTTGATAATTCGTATTTTCAAATACCACTCTTAAGTTCTATTATTAATATATTTATTTTATATATTTATATTATATTACAATACTATCTTTTGATCGTTATTTTTAATTAATATATTTATTAATTTATTTCAAATAATTTTAATTATTAAAATTTATATAAATTATATTTAAAAATTAAAATATAATCAGTATTATATAAAAATATTATTAGATAATGAAAATATATAGAAATATGTTTAAATAAATAAATTATTTATATATTGTTTATATATATTATTATATTAAAAAATATATAAAAATAATTTTTTTTTTAAGATTTACTGTCACGAAAAATGAAATGATTTAATTATTGTGCCGAATATGATATGAACAAACGAAATAAAAAAATAATAATAAAGTGAGGGTAACGAAGCTCTAAAAGAATAGTTTTCTAGGCGAATTCCATGCAGAATTGAGAAGATACACGTATGTGTATTTTATCAATGCTAGTATTAAATAATAATTATTTATTTTTTTTTATTTAAATAATTTAATGAAATAAAGTAAAATGTATATTAATATATATATAAATATTAATATTAATTATTTTTAAATTTGGATAATAAAGAGTACTATAGTATATAGTATAAGAGGGGCGTAGGAGTAGGCGTAGGAAAAACAGTTCAGTTCGAGTAGTTTTTTTTTTTTTTTTTTTTTCTATTCTTCCGGTAACGGACATTTCGGAATGGTGAACAGAAAATCGCCGGCGGACGCCGAGATGTCGGAGCAGCAGGAGCCGCAGCCAAAGCCGCCGATCGGTAACGTGCCGGCTACCACTCACGGCGGGCGATTCATTCAGTACAACGTCTCCGGCCACATCTTCGAGATCAGCTCCAAGTATAAACCCCCAATCATAGTTGTTGGACACGGCGCGTATGGAATCGTTTGGTAAAGGAGTTTCTTGTGTTCTTGTTCTTTCTTCTCTCACTTTGGTGTGATGTTTTCTCTTTGTTTCTTCGGATAAATTAGCTCGCTTAGGAACTCGGAGACGAATGAGCAAGTGGCGTTGAAGAAGATAACAAATGCTTTTGCTAATAAGGTCGATGCCAGGAGGACTCTGCGAGAAGTGAAGCTTCTGCGACACATGGATCATGAAAACGTTAGTTAATTAATGCTTTCTTAATCATAGCTGATTAATTACATATATTCATTACGCTTGTTTGAATACATATATGTGAAGTTTGCTTGCCTTTATTGATCGACCACTGGAGTCAATGTCATAAGATAGCTTAGTAGTTCAAATCTCAAGTTAGGAAGACGACTCTGATTTTTCTCAATGAAATTCTTGATCATACGGGTAAAGTTCTTGGGGATGAAAAGAATGGTTTTGTGTAGAAGCTCTCTAGAAGAAGGATGCGTTGTTTTACTTGGTAATGAAGAATTTCTGAGTGTGAATTTAGGAGTCTGATTGCAAGCTAACTTGAAAATGAGTTTCAGTCATAGTAGTCGATACTCAATAGCACGCAATACTGCTGCTTCTAATTCAATTGGGGTCCCTTATCCTTCTAAGGTTGAAATGTAGAGCACATCAAATAACTGAAATCTAAAGCATTTAGTCAGCATGTGTAGTCGTCATTTAGTTGTGAAAATCTTGCTTGCTTGCTGCAGATTACTGCAATCAGAGATGTAATCCCACCTCCTCACAGGGAGGCATTTAATGATTGTTACATTGCCTATGAATTAATGGAAACCGATCTCCATCAGATCATCCGTTCTGATCAACCATTGTCAGAGTGGCATTGCCAGGTATTCTTATTTTTATGTTTTGGAATGTTAGATTGAAAAATAGCCAGATACTAAGTCATGGTGTCTTTCAATTCTTATCTAAATTCCATATTTATTTTGCTGCCATAATATTTCATGAAATGCCATATGCATTTTCTTTTGCCATTCCTTCCTGTGGCAAGATTCTCAACACATAGATTGCATCCACTAATAACAAACCATTCTCTGTAAAATACTTACTAACTACTTGTTTCTTGCAGTACTTCTTGTATCAGATTCTCCGTGGATTAAAGTACATACACTCTGCAAATGTTCTGCACAGGGATTTAAAGCCAAGCAATATTCTCTTGAATTCAAATTGTCACTTAAAAATATGTGATTTTGGACTGGCACGTGTTGCTTCTGAAACCAAATTGATGACACGAGGTGTTGTTACAATCTGGTATCGGGCGCCAGAACTTTTGTTGAATTCATGTGATTATACTGCGGCTATTGATGTATGGGCAGTGGGCTGCATTTTCATGGAAATGTTGGATCGGAAACCACTGTTCCCGGGTAGAGCTATCGTCAACCAATTACATCTGATTCTTCTGGTACTTCCCCTTTGCTTATATAAAATTTAGATGTCAGTAGGAGGATAAATTAAGATAATTAGACTATAATTTGCCATTTCTATGTCTATGATAGTTTATATTGTGTCTATGTCTATAATAAACTGCGCTCTCCAAGTGTGCTTGTTCCAGCAGTAACATATTGTTCCATGGAGCTAAGGTCCAAAATATCTTCTGCGGCGCGAATTTTCTGATTTGTAATCTTTTTTAGAAATCGAATGGTGCAATGCACGCAGTTATTGATAGACAGAAGAATCATGGTATGCACTTCCTAGTTCCTCGCGATTTTACTTGCTTGAATGGCCCCGTACGTATGTTTTGCCAGCAGTCAGCGGTTTTTAGAACCTGTTGTGCCCAAGAGTGCATCTTCAGAGAAGGAATGCACTATATCTTTATTTTTTTAATTTTAAATGGTTCAATTCAAATTTCCAGTTAGCATCATCTGCTCTATGATATTCTCCCTTCACCTATGTTATGGATAACAAATATTCTAAGACACTATTGGATTGCATGTCTCAAGTTGCTTAGGATGCTTTACTTCAGTTCACTTTATTTCCATCTATTTAAGTCTGGCGTGATCATAGTTGATTGGCGACTAGATCCGTTACTTAGTGAATGCTGCTCATGGTGTATTTGAAGTATTTCAGTTTTATAGAAGGCAAAATGCCATGTATTAGTGTCTTTCTTGATTTGCAGCTGATCGGCAGTCCGTTAGACAATGATTTAAGCTTTCTGAGTGAACATGGAAGAAATTACATGCGACATATTCCCCTTGTTCAACGGCAGTCATTGAAAGAGAAGTTTCCGCATTTGGACCCTCTTGCTATTGACTTGGCTGAGAAAATGCTTACGTTTGATCCCAGGCAAAGAATTACGGGTAACTTTTATTCATCCCATCTTAACATGCTTTACTTGATTTCATTGATTCTGCTGGTGCATCTTTTTTTATCTTCTACATCTATTCTTGTCGGGTTTGTTGAGCGAGCAATTGTTGATCCATCCCTTGGCAATGGTAGTCAGGTCATGTTTTGAACTCACAGTGATATATTTCAGTGGAAGAAGCTCTGGAGCACCGGTACCTGAGGTTACTCCACGACAACAGCGACGAACCTGTTTGTCCAGCCCCTTTTAGCTTCGAATTCGAGAAGTATGATCTGACAGTGGAGCAGTTGAAGGAGCTAGTATACAGAGAGGCTCTTGCCTACAACCCTGAGTATGACCAAAATTGAGAAATGAATCATCCATCAATCATACTGAGGTACTACTTCTTTTTCCATGTATCTTCCATTTTTTCATTCAGAATGTAGATATATCTTGCTTTGATTCTTGAAATGTTCTTAAACCAGATTTCAAACTTGTCATGTCATATACCAGCTCTGGGGCAAAACTGTTGGTGTTGGAAGAATTATCCTCCTCTTTTGTAAAAGGTAAAAACAGAAAAAGGAGGATGTGTACAGAAACACAACTGCGACGGCACAAGCACTTCCATGTTACGCAACGTCTCGGTCTGGTCTGGTCTGGTCTTACTTTGAGGTGAAATATGAAGAAGGTGTCAAGTGCAGGTATTTTTAGTCTAAGATGATGAATGGTTGTCAATCTCCCTCCACAGCTAGCGAACTGTTTTTTAAAGTATAAAAGAGAGTCATGCAATTTTTTAAAATAAATGAGAGATTTATGCCGAGTTTCGAAATCACAAGAAAATTACAAGCAATTTTGCTTTATAATTATTATTATCAATACGACTTATAATACTTAGTTGAATTGATGCAGCTGAGAGTTGAGAGTTGATGAATTCAGTACAACAGCATGATGGCAAAGGCAATGGCATCCATCATCTACGCTGCTCTCTTCTGTTCTGTCAGGTAAACTAACTAACTGTGTCATTGTTAATATTTGAAATCCACGACATAAAGAATATGCATACAATACATGGATGTCCCATTGTGATAGCTTTTTTAACCTGTTTTGACATATATGGACTGAAACTAACTAAAACTGAAACCCAACTTGGTGGTACTAATCACTTTGTTATTTCAGTGGCCCAAATAGGTCTTTTTATCATTGGCCCATTCCATTCCTTCCCATCAAGGTTCGGTTATTTGGAAATATGCAATTTGATAACCGAACTGAACAAATATCCGAAGCCGCAAACGGTATCTGAATCGAAAATTTCAATTAACTTAAAATATTTGTAGTATTTGCAAATAACTCGAACCGAACCGAAATTAAAAAAAAATATATAAAAAAATGATTAAAATTCTAATTAAATAAAAAAAATATTTGTAAATATTTTAAATATCCGAACTGAAATTGAACCGAATATATTTATTAATATAAATTTTAAAATATAATAATATAAATATATTCGGTTCAGTTAACCGAACTGAAAAAAATGTGAAAAATCGAAACCAAATCGAACAAAATAAATATCAAATATACAGTATCTGTATTCGAACCGAATTTGCTCGGTTAACCAAAATTTCGATTCGATTCAGTTCGATTTTTTTGTCCACCCCTCATCCCACCCCACCCCTCCCCCACTGAATTGACTCAGATGGCATCATTTAAAATTGTAAATAATTATATAGATCATAAATGTAAAAATAAATAATGAATATGATCTGTTAATTGAAATTATATGTCTGTTCATTTTTTTCATATGCCGATTCGAACAAATAAGAACTAATTTGGCCAATCAACACAAAAACAATGACATCAATAGCAATGGACGACGTAATCCCTGCTAATAAGACACAAACAACACAACACATCAGGACAGACAAATGACAGATAAAAATAATATATGATATTATTATAGATAGTAGATAAGAGTATATTATTATTATTATTATTATTATTATTATAGAATACAGACAGGTCCCCAAGACGAGTTTGTTCACCTAAAAACCAATTGCAAAGTGCTAAGTGCCACGTTTTGCTTTGCCGTTGAATAATGAATGATATGTCGTTTGCCATGAACCAACTTTTCTATTAATTTATATTTAGTTTGCATGCTGCAGCTAAAATACTGATGTTGTGTTGAACAGCGCATTATGTGCTATTAGACAATAGATAATATTATTACAAACAACACAATATATATATATTAAAATATAATACAAATACAACATATGAACAAAACACACGTATTATAGTCTCACCAGCACACAATATTACTACAAACAATACACAGTATTGTTACAAACAATAAATTATATGTCAATATAATACAAATACAACACATGAGTTAGCCCATGCTATAGTCTCGTATATCACACACAACAGTTGATTTTAGCATATGACAGTGCTGATGATTTTAGATCGCATCAGGTCACCTGCCACATATGGTTAGCCTAGTATGACTTGTCTGTCGGACCTAGTTTGCAGAATATTAGATTCAATCGGAGTTTATTCTGTGCGCACTTTCGAGCAGCGACTGCGAGTTCGTAGTCATAATAAAATTTAAAAAAAAATGACATTGACAAGGAGGGCAAGGCGACTCTCCAAGATGCCGCTCTGTCGTACGTGTCTCTCATTATCAATTAATATACATCCCAGGAAAGCAAAAGCCTGTCTTATTAATTAAATGGGATTAGATATCTTTTTACTTCATCAACCACCAAACACACAGCTAACAAGAAACGTGTCAGGCCTACCACTTGCTCCCCTCAACAATGATAAGTTAATAACCTTTGACCAAAAAGTATTTCATTTCCATGTCCATATGGCAACAATATCTGCTCTGCTGTACAATTAGGATAGACACACACATACATAAATAGGCTACGTGGTCTTTTGTAGTATGTTTTTCTGTTTGTCTTATCTATCTTTTAAGTGAAGTCGTCACCTCAACTCACCATGATCATTATCATCCTCTAGGAATATTCTCCTAACAAAATCTTGAAATCTTCTGGAATAGAGCTTTGGATCAACTGCTGAAATAGAGATAGGGTCGAGCTGCAAGGATTTGTAGGCATGCTCAAGCTTCTTGCTTATGTCGTAGTCCTGCAGAATGTCTATTATCCCAAAGTATAATCCCACTCTATGCAGCAGCATTTCACCATTCTCACTACTCTTCTTCTTCTTCCTCCGGTCCTGGTCCTCCACCGCCCGGCCCGGCACATTCGCTCCCAGCCTCACCGCGCCATTCTCGCCGCCCTTGTTGTCTACAAAATGAACACCTACTAAAAGGCTGTAATCCATAATTCCCATGGACTCCAAGAACCCACAGTCCAGATCAATCTGTCTGCATAATAAAAAAATATATTCAATCACTCACTTAACTCTCTACTTAGAATCAAACATTTAATTAGTTTTAACAAATTTTCATTGTAACTTAAAGCACACATAGCACAAAATCCCCAAACATTGTTGTTTGTTGCTGTTGTCCAAGGGATTTTGTGCATTGTTATTTTATGAAAAGACAAAGATAAGCGTAATTTGTACACCAATGAGAAAAAAATGGTGGGAGACTTTTTAAAATGGAGATGAGTTATTATAAGTAAATGGTAAATTATATAAAATTCCCTTGTGTTTTAGTAAAAATGCACAAAACACTCTGCCTACAATCCCCTTATGTTTATGTAAAATTTGCACAAAATACCTGATGTTTAATTCTAAATAAAGACCTATTATTTATATTATTAAAAAGGTATTTGAGATAGTTTATGTTTTTTATTTGTATAAATCTTTATTTAGAACCAACCATCAGATTTGGACAGAGAAGTGTTTCATGCAAACTTTACATTAACACAAAGAGAATTTTACGCAATATTTTTACTAAAACACAGGGAAGGTGTTATATAATTTATCCATAAGTAAATATGCATTCATTATATACTACAACCTCATAAGTTGTTGATACCACTTGGTCTGTAGCCGAAACACAAAGTTGAGGTCGAGGTCCTTGAGCGTTGTGGTTTCATCGATCTCTTCCTCAGGCTTGTCGGTTACACGCCCGTGCGATGATCCTTTCAAATCAAACCGTCTGTGGATCCGCAATGGAGAGCACAGCATATTCCCCATCACAATCAGCCGCGTCTAATCATCGATTCAAATACCATCAATGTACGTTAGTTAGTTAGTTAGTTAGTTCTTTCTCCTCGCAACAATGGCAGCTCAGATCAGCCACTGCTTACCTTCAAACCACCCGATTTCACACAGTGGACGCCGTAGAACTTTGTTACAAGAGAATTTTCATAGCGGCGAACATGCTGGTAATAACTTGGAAGCATCTTAATCAAAGCCTGATACAAGTAGTAAACAAGAATTAACAACAAAGTATATATTCGAATAGTTAATGATTTTCTTTCATGAAGAACCAACCTTGACTTCAGATTTCTTCAAAGTCTTGATCATGAACCTATCGTCCTGCGTCATGTAGAAGAAGCTTCCACTCTTCCCGGGAGATGAAAGCTCTCGCAGGGCGTCACTCCCGCAAATGGCTAACATGTAATCTGCCGGATCGACTCGGAACAGCTCCCTTAAATGTCTAAATACACAAACAAGTAACCAAGAAACTACACATTTTAAAAAATCTTTTAGGTGAAATGAAATGGTCATTTAACATAAACTTTTTGTCAATGATCGATCGATCTATCTCACCGGAACACCACAGGACAATAGTCTTTCCATCGAAACTCCATGCATTGATGAGGGGGTGTAACCTTCGACCCCTCCGGAGGAAACCTTGTCCAAAACTTTTCCTTAGGATCAAAATCGCCAGCCTTTAGACGACGTAGCAGCGAAGAATGCCTCCCCACCGAATACCTTAAGAACAACAACACACACATTAAAATCAATCATCTACATCACCAAAACAACGATGAATGATTCCAATTCGACAAAAACCAACCTAATCCCTAACTGGAGATTAAGCATAAGCTCATAACTCTTGTGCCCTTTCAATATCGTCTTCCCCGGCCTCTTCACTTCCCCGTCGTTGTCGTCGACAAGACAGGGACTCCTACGAGCCCGATCGCTGTCGTCATTGCCGTCCGCCACATTATCATTTATATCACAAGTTATATCCCCATCCGATTCCCCAATGCAAATTCTCGGAACTGCTCTGTCATTATCAATAGCCGGAATCTTCATTGCCGGCAGTGGCTGCTTCTTCTTCTTCTTCCTCATCCCCTCGCCGGAAGTCACCACCATCAGTGGCGCAGACAACTTCTGGTTGAATCCTCCCTTCAAATCCTCACTATCGGAGCTCAATCCGCCATTATCGGGCCAGGTAAAAACTCCAGGTGCCTTAGGAGCACCATTCTCCCAATTCCCTTCGTACCGATTTCCATTTCTCCAAACGAAAACGCCTTTTCCATGAATCGAACCGTTCCTCCACTCGCCGACATACTCGTTCCCGTTCCGCCAAAGATACCGTCCTTTCCCGTCCTGCAAATTCCTCCTCCACTGCCCCTCGTAGCAGTCCCCGTTGCTGTAATGCTTGGCGCCATAGCCGTGCTTCTTATCCCCAGCCCACCCGCCGACGTACGAATCCCCGCCCGACCCGACGAAAGTGCCCGACCCGTCCATCCGACCCGACTTGAACTCGCCTTCGAAAGTTGCGCCCGACGGCCACGAGAACTTCCCCTTCCCGCTGGCCTTCCCCTTCCTCCATTCCCCTTCATACATACAACCGTCTTTCCATAAATACTTACCCGATCCATGGGGAGCATTGTCGCAGCACGTTCCGATGTACAGATCTCCGTTGGGGAGGTGTTTCTCGATCTCGACCGCGCAATTGCCTCCGTCGGGGGCGATCCGCCGGCACGCGGCTTGAGATTTGCTTCGCGGCGTGGTCGTGGCGTTTGCACTTGTAGTGTCGGGGATTTTAGGGTTCTCTGTGAATAAGTTGGACTTTGCAGCGAAGCTTTCGAAGCTCTCGAGCATTATTATTTCTTCTTGTTGCTGGAGAAGAAACGAGGTCGTTACATTTACATACACACGTTGGGATCACATTCACAGAACCATAATAGAGTTGTGAAACTCTATAGCCATTGGTGAATGGTAAATGATAACGGTGCGAATAGTTTACGGATTGAAGAACAGAGTAGAGTAGCAGGTAGGGTAGGGTAAATTAAGCTTCAAGTGCAGAGCAGACGAACAGAGACAGACTGCAAAGGCAAAGAATATATAGGAGAAGGAAAATGAGAGGAGGGATGTCAACGGTGTCGGGACGGATTTTGCATGCCCGAGACCCGCCGCGGACACAATACCTGTTCCGCCCAGCTTCAATCTGGCTCTGGATCCCGTCCAACCGAGTTCGAGATTAACCCTGACAAATTCATTTTTTTTTTTTTAAAAAAAATATATAAATTTTTAAAAATAATTTAATATAAATACGTGTCAAAGTACAAAACTATTATAATTCTAAACATAAAAACAATCAAATATTGAGCAAGCACTAGCCCTCGTTATAAAAAGAATTATAGAAAAAAATATTAAAAGAATAAATTTAATTTAGAATTAATATTCTATTTTAAGTTTAAAATTTTTAAAATAAATAAATAATATTTCATCCGTCTTAATACAGTAGTCTTATTTACTATTTTTGTCTGTCCCAAAACAATAGTCTTATTTATTATTTTTGTCCGTCCAAAAAACAATAATCTTATTTTCATAAATAACCATATCAGTATAAAACTATCTTTATTCTTTCGTTATTATTACACAATTGTCACTACTTTTTACAATAATATACTCACAAGGGCAAAAAAATCTTTTACCTATATTTTTTTACCCACTATCAATATAATACTAATATTTCTTGAACTCCGTGCCCAACACCACTAACACTGTAGTTCTGGGACGGAGGGTGTATAATTTATATTGTATAAAAATATAAATAAATTATAATTATTATTAAAATGTCCGTATTCGGGTCCGGAGAAGGTATGTGGACAAAATTGTGTTATTTTTAATAAATACAAAATTTGTACAAATTATATATGATTTGAATTTAAAGTGGGTTATATTTTCTAAATGAGTCCTTTGATTCTCCTTTCGGGTCGATTTATTTTCCAACTTGGTTTTCTATGGCTTCTTTGATCCGAAGAGATTTGGTCTTCGGTTTGATTATACCGGACTTTGGAGGGCTTTAGTCTCCGTGCAGGCAATTTGATCGTCAGCTTTGGATTTGATGTCTTTTTTGGATGATCCGAGGCTTTGATATTTGATTTAGCTTTGCAGCCTTTTGCAGGGCTTTGATCTCCGTGTTGGCGATTTGACCATCAGCTTTGGATTTGATGTATTTTTTGGACAATCCGCAGCTTTGTTTTTTAGTTTGCTTTTTCCGCCTTTTGGAGAGCTTCGGTCTCCGTGTGGGCAATTTGATCATCGACTTTGGATTTGATGTCTTATTTGGACAATCCGCGGTTTTAATCTTTTGTTTGGCTTTGCCGTCTTTTGGAGAGTTTTGGTCTCCGTGTGAGAGATTTGATCATCTGCTTTGGATTTGGTGTCTTTTTTGGACGATCTGCGGCTTTGATCTTTGATTTGCCTTTTCCGCATTTTGGAAAGCTTCGGTCTCCGTGTAGACGATTTGATCGTCGGCTTTGGATTTGATGTCTTTTTTGGACGATCCGCAAATCTGATCTTTGTTTTATCTTTGCCGCTTTTGGAGGGTTTTGGTCTCCGTGCAGGCGATTTGATCCTAAGCTTTGGATTTAATGTCCTCTTTAGACGATCCGCGGCTTTGATCTTTGAGAAGGTGGATTTGGTGTTCCATAACACTTTTGGCGGCGCGTCTCTTTGACTTTTGGATCAAAGAGGGTCTGGTTGATACTTTGTTGAAAAACGCGATGAACACCTTGAAGCTTTTAGATGAACTTTGGATGTTTTTCCTTGGCCTTGATAGATTTTTCAACAGCTTTTGATTCTTTAATCTTTGAAGAAGTGGATTTGGTGCTCCATAACACTTTTGGTGGCGTGTCCCTTTGACTTTTGAATTGAAGAGGGCCTAGTTGATGCTTTGTAGAAGAACGCGATAAACATCTTGAAGCTTTATGAGGAACTTTGGAGACCTTCTTTTGGCTTTGAAGAATTCCTCAACGACTTTTGGAGCTTTGATCCTTGAAGATGTGGATTTTGTGCTCCATAACACTTTTGACGACGTGTTCCTTTGACTTTTGGATCGAAGAGGGCTTAGTTGATACTTTGTTGAAGAATGCGATGAACACCTCGAAGCTTTGGGATGAGCTTTGTATGCTCTTCCTTGGCTTTGATGGATTCCTCAACGGTTTTTGGAGCTTTGATCATTGAAGAGGTAGATTTGGTGCTCCATAACACTTTTGGCGGTGTGTCCCTTTGACTTTTGGATCGAAGAGGGCTGAGTTGATGCTTTGGTGAAGAACGCGATGAACATCTTGAAGCTTTGGGATGAACTTTGGATGATCTTCCTTGGCTTTGATGGATTCTTCAACGGCTTTTGGAGCTTTGATCCTTCCTCCGTCTTGGGCATACGACGAAAAACGATAACTCCATCGATTCGTCAACCAATATTGGATCATTTGTCCAAATCAGTGACTTTCGACGAAGAACGCTTCGAATGACACAAAGAACATAAAGAACAATACAGAGAGAGTCGAGAGACTTACCCCTTTGCTTGAATCCTTGATGCAACTTCGGTGTCTCAAATGAACTGGCCATGGCTCATATTTATAGGGGATGTGTGGTTTCGGCTTCCTTTTTTAATGGTGCCACGTGGCGCGTTTTAATTGACCAATAGGAAGATTTTATAATCTTTCCTTTTCCATCAGATGCTCTTTTCCATTCTTGACGGATTTGATTGTGCACTTTCCTTTCTCGCTAAGATCTTTATATCATTGCCCTTTTTCTGAAGATATTAATTTATATACTTCTTTTATTGACAAAATTAATTTATTTTGTTGCCAAATTTATTATAGCTCTATTTGTGCACGTAATATTTGTACGATATCTTCCATTTTAAGCAGATTTTTGCATTAATAGTTGATATTTATTGTACAAAAATTAACATATGTGCATAATTAAATACCATATATTTATTTTGTTGGAATTTTATTTTCTTTCAAAATACATGATATTTAATTGATTTTAGACATATATTTTTAGTGTCTACAAAATGCCCCATCGAGACTCTTTTAAGCCGACGCAAAATGTTTAAGGCGTGAATGAGTCTCGAAACATAAGTCAATTTATTTTTTGACTGATTTTTTTTATGGCTATCATTTTTTTGATTTTTTTTTGCCAATATTTTTTTCAAAAGGCTTTTTCTTTTTTAATATCTTTTATTTTTTTGGACGAGATTTTTTTTGTCAAATTGATTTTTTTTAAGCCCGATTTTTTTTTGGACTTTTTTTTGCCCAATTTATTTTTTAGGGCTTTTTTTTTTGGGTATAATTGACTAAACTCGAAGTTATATTCCAAGTTGCCTACGTATCCGGTGAAGGAATCAAGTCATAACGTAGTTCAAAACAAATTGAATTTTTTTGTTTTTGTTAAACAGTTTATTCTCGTGTTAAGGAGTCATGTTAGAAAATTTATCCTCATTCTCAGGAGATTGAAGAAAGTTTTTCCACGTTTCCAGGAGGTTGTAGAAAGTTTCTCTTTTCTAGGATATTTTAGAAAGTTTTTCATCGTTTCCAGGAGATTGCAGAAAGTTTATCCTCATTTCCAGGAGTGGTGAAAGTATGACTGCCCCCACTGTTTGAAGTGTTATATTTCTCGTCTTCTGAGAAATCTTCAGTAGGTGGTTCATACATTCCACTAGACATCATGCTCAATTCTATATCATGAGCGTGAGTGGCGATTTCTTCAAAAGTATGGGGTCGGATCCCTTGTATGATGTATTTCAAGCCCCATTGCATCCCTTGAATGCACATTTCTATGTCGGAAGCCTCGGACAGACGGTCTTTGCAGTTGAGGCTTAGACTTCTCCAGCGGTTGATGTAGTCAATTACTGGCTCATCTTTCCATTGGCGGCTGTTGGTGAGTTCGGTCATGCTGACGCTTCTTCTTGTGTTGTAGAACCGATTTAAGAACTCGTGCTTTAGTTTTTCCCAATTGCGATGGAACCAGCCTCTAAGTCAATGTACCAATCGAAGACGTCTCCGTTTAGTGACCGCACAAATTGTTTGATTAGGAGGTCTCCATATGTTCCAGCATCGTTGCATGTCTCGACAAAGTGCGCTATATATTGTTTTGGGTTGTCTTTGCCGTCACATTGTTGAAACTTTGGTGGTTGATAGCCCGTTGGCATTGTGAGGGCATCAACCGTTGCAATGTAAGGCTTGGCGTAAGTGTGCATCGGCCTTGAACTCCATTCGAATTCTCTTTTGATTGCTCCCTTGATGTATTTGTCAAGTTGAGATATATGAATGAAGGAGTTGAATGATCTTTGAAATGAATTTGGTTCCGCCACTCTTTCTTTGCCATGACGTTGCTCCACATATGTTGCCGCTTTATTTTGGACTGCTGGGGAAGATGGTAGTTTTTCGATGGCATGACTGGATTCTTCAGGCTTGTCCAGCTTTGTGAGAAGCTTTTCGATGAGGACGTCTTGTTGTTGCATGTGTTGAGACATCCCTTCAACGATCTTGGCCAATGCTACAAGTTGGTCTTCTATATTTGAAGCATTGATAGTCATCACCAGAGCAGAGTTTGATGTGGTTGAATGACTTGAAATTGGCCGATGAGTAGGTGGCATGAAAGTGCCTTTGAAGCTTTGATCTTCCTCACAAAGCATACTTTGATCCACAATATTTGAAGCGTTGGTAGTCATCACCGGAGCAAAGCTTGATGTGGTTGAATGACTTGCAGTTTGTTGAGGGGTGAACAATGCGACAGTACTCTTAAAGTTGTCGTCTTCTTCATAGAGTGGACTTTGCTTTGTGATTTTTGGAGAAGTGTATTCAGATAACAAAAATGCTCTTTTGGTTATGCTTTGTGTTGTCATTCCAGTATTTGTCCACGTGCTTGAGGTTTTGGACACGATGGGTGCACCAACTTCTTCGACGGCGACGGCAGCGGTGGCTTGAACAACAACTTTTGACGCAACGTTGGAAGTCTTGATCTTGTAGGAAGCCATTGGTTGTTGAAAGTTCATCGGAAAAAGAGATGAAAGGTAGAAAGATCCCACTGGGCGTGCCAAAAATCTGTGGACAAAAAATTGTGTTATTTTTAGTAAACACAAAATTTGTACAAATTATATTTGATTTGAATTAAAAGTGGGTCCTATTCTCTAAATGGGTCTTTTGATTCTCCTTCCG